CATATTTTGTATTTTTAAATTTTATATGTAACATGTGTGTGTGTATATATAATTTAATATTTATGCAATATTTTTGTACTTTATGTTTTGGACTTTGAGTTTGATCTAATTGGCAATATTAATAAATTAACTTAATAGTTTTGTACTATTTTAAATTATACAATATGTATTTGAATTCTTTATTTATTTGGATTATGGTCACTTTATCGTTGATTTTATAATATGTATTTTTAAACTTATAATTAACAGATTGTAGATATAAAGTGCGATTGAACAAACCGCATAAATCGCACTGTACTGCACCGCATTTTTGCGGTGTAGTTTAAGGTTTATATAGTGCGGTTTGCAGTTGAGAAAATGCTCAAACCGTATATGTGATACGGTTTGTGGTTTGGCCCCAAACCTCATCACGAACACCCCTAGTTAAATATGTAAAAGTTACTAGAATTTTTTTTGGAAACCTTAAAATTAAATTTGGAGTGAATTGTGGATTTAGTCCATGTGTTTGATATTTTTTTTTACTAGGATCCCTATATATGTTCATTGTGGATTTGGTCTTTGCCTTTATGTCTATTTTTTTCTTTTTCCAATGAAAACAATACCTTTATACATATATATATATATATATATATATATACTTGGAATCATATGAGACCAACATGTTTTCGTGAGACCTGTGAGACCATTTTTTTACACTTGAAACTTCACAGTAAAATGCTGTGAAGGTAACATTCACAGTGTTTTTGTTGTGAAGGTAACCTTCACAATGTTTTTGTTGTGAAGGTAACCTTCACAGTGTTTTTGTTGTGAAAGTTCGGATTTTTTTACCTTCACAGTGTTTTCGCTGTGAAGTTTCAAGTGTAAAAAAGTTGTCTCACGGGTCTCACGAAAACAGACTGGTGTCACGTGCACCCAACCCTATATATATATATATATATATATATATAAATATAAAAAGTTAGGATATTATTATAAGTTCGGATATTGTTGTATGATTTGATATGTTTATTTAAAAAAAAATAGTTATATTAAATACAATTTAACTTTATTATTTTATTGCAATGGTGGGAAAAATATGGTTTTATTATTTAAATGTAATTAATTAAATTTTAATTTAAACAATTCAAATCATAAAATCATATCTTATTTTATTTATTCCAAATAAAATAAGATATTGGTTTATGATTTGATTTGTTTAAATTAAAAAATTAATTTTGGAGGGGTGATTATTTAACCGATTATTTTTGAAAGACATTTTTTATTATCTTTTACATAATCAAAACAAATCGGATATTAAAAAAATTATTGGGTTTTCATCAATATGAGGATTTAAGAGATTATGTTATGATCTTTTGTCATAGTTTGAAAAATCTTTTATTAGTTTCTTCATGAATATGAGGATTTGAGAGATTCTGTTACCAAGTTATTTGACTATACAAAAGAGATCGATAAGGTTATGCTTTTGATTGACTAAGTTTCATGACAGTATGAACAAAACACATAAAACAGTTTCATCATTGACTGAACAGTTTCAATGAACTACTACAGGAACTGAGCAAAGGGTTTGAAGGTATCAGTTGTAAAAGATCTCATCCATATCCTCACTTATCTAAGTTAATTAAAATTTCATCAATCAAAATTCAACAAATTGAAAAGAGAAAAACAAGTGAAACAGTTCAGCAAACACCATTTAAACCATAGTCAATGGAACATCTGTGTCATCCAAAAAATCTGATTACTTTAGGGTTTCCAATAGCAATGCAAAAAATAATTTTAATCAGCGACTTCATTGAAATTACTGTCTAACCTCTATTTTGAACTAGGGTTTTAAACTGTGTTGATTCTATAAAATTCCGCAATAATGAACCAATAAAAAAGTTGCTTTCGTCATGAAATTTGCTTCTTTCTTCAAAAAATTGTAGAAAAATACAGCGTTTATAAAAGTACCTTCATCGTCACTTTTAACCTTCTTTTCTATTACTTTTTTTCCGATTCCTTTGCTTGCCTCCATCTTGTATTCAGTATCTTTCCTGTCTTCATCGAGTACAACAGGGTTTTCAAATATGCCCTTGAGGCATAGGCGTAGATTATGTTTTATTTTATTTTTTTAATGCTAGAATGACTTGTCGTCTAACATTAAATACTTGTACGATAAATATTATTCTATAAATACTATGGAAAAGACAAAAAAAATGTTAAAAAAAACGGCTCTCACTTAATGAACAATTTTTAACGTAGTTAATGTCAAATATCACTTTAATTTTAATTCAAAATGCACAATTTATACCTATACATTTTTGCTTTTGATGGACCCCTTTCAAAAAAAAATTGAACATACTTATTAAACATTAAATGTAGTTTGCTTTTAGAAATAAAGGTATTACACTTGTTAATTAATCCAAAAAAATGTTTAGCCAAACATTATTTTTATTGAAACTTTATCCAAATACTTATTAAACATTGAGCACAGAACATCAGATGTTAATAAACATTATCCTAAGTTTATAAATAAATAAAATCAGAGCCAGTTTCGTTAATAAACTTAAATCGATTATTACTTTTTTTAAATATGACGGACTTTAAATTTACATGGCTAAATCGTCAAAATAAGCATGAGAGCTTAGAAATGTCACTCAACTTTTAAACTTGTATTATTTATGCCAAAATGATTAAAAGTGTTATTTTGACTTAAATCTGTTTCATGATTAAAATAAAAAAACACACATTTTGACGGTAAATAGTAAAAAGAAACTTTGTAAGCAAAAATCAAGAGGGTTGAGAATGTCTCTGGTGCAGAGGGTTCATAGGAGGACAGTGACGAGGTATGCATCATTGAGACGCGGTGAGGATCACCCGGGAGGAAACGGGGATGGTGGCTATACACACATATAGGGAGGGGATGGGCAGTGGTAGCTCGAGATAATGGGCAACGGAAAAACCCAGGCCTCCTTGAGACATTTGATAAAAGTCGTATATTTTTTTAGACATTAAATATATTGTATCTTTTGTTGCTGTATTTATATAAAACATGATTAGCTAATAAAAATTCAAATAATAACTTAAAGTTTAAAAAGATTTTACTAGGACGTTTTATGAAAGTGTATATATATATATATATATATATATACACACACACATAGGGGGGCTATTCAAGAAGGAATTGGTTAGTTTGTGATAACTGTGAGATTTAATCTCAACCACAAATTAATTGTTAAATTAGGAAACTAATAACTTTGGTAATTTGACTTAAAATTTTAATTAAAGGGCATTTTAGGTATTTTAAAAATCTTATATATCTTCTCTCTTCTGTTCGTCGAACTTTATTCCGGTGAACCTTATTCCGACAAAGACATGATGCACATTATGATACGCTTCATAAAACAACGAAAAAACACAGTATGATACACTTAGTAGCAACATTACCTGATATATTGTGTTACACTTCGTAAAACAACAAAGATATATTGTGATGCACTTCGTATAACCACAAAAATACATTGTGATACACACTATGATACCAAATCTGGTTGATGAATACAACTGTGATATCACTGTGTTACCACTGTATTATACTCGACATTACATCTCCAACGAGATCTAGGTTACATCCAAAAACCTTACATCTTCTGTATTATATCTCCCACGATATCTGGGTTACATCCCTGATCTAAAATGAGATTTAAACAAAAACCAGAAACTAAAACCGAGGAGATGACGGAAGGTGGTTGGAGATGGATAGAGAATAAGAAGCAACGGTGGTCGATGGCCGGAGAAGGACGGAGAAGGAGACGTCGGGTGATGTTGAACAAAGGGATCTATGTAAAGTGTCGCACTAGAGATGAAACACGTTTTGGCTGGCAATGGGGAAAGAGGGTCACAGGTGGTGAATACGTCCATTCTAATATACACACACATCTATTTCAAAATTAGAATATTAAACTAATTAAAGTAAATTGAATATTCAACACAATTTACTAATTTACCTTCTGCTTATTTTAAGAAATCATAATAATTATCTTGAATGATTGGTTTGTGTTAGATCTCACAGTTATCACAAACTAAACAATTCTCATTAGGTTAGACATATATATATATATATATATATATATATATATATATTGTATAAAAAATGAAATTTTTCAGAAAAACACAATGAATTTTTCTATTTTAAATGATTAAGTCTCTCAACAATTTTTTAATAAACAGTAAACAATCAAATTTTTAAAAATTAATTACAAACATTCTTTTGTATAAAAACATTATCTGAAACCAGTTAGGAATGTTTTAAAGGAAAAAACCTACATTAGTTTTACCGCTCCCCAAATCCTACGTTATTCAAACAACTCTTCACCTCCCCGTTCGCCTCATTGTCATTTGCTCTCTATCACTGTCATCACCATTGTTGGCCTCTGCTATCAATCTCCCTCTTTTTAATCTTTTTTCTTGTATTTTGCTTCTCCATATTTTTTTATATGTCTATACGTGCTCCATTAAATTGCTATAAAATAAAGAGAATTAAAAGACACAAATAAATAGATTAAAAAAAGGTAGATCGATTAGAGAGTCGAACTGCAATAATAAATGGTATGGAGAACAAACAAACATGGGGGCGACAAGGAAGTACAAGGGAGAGTGATGCGTGCAATAAGTTTGAATTGCATAGCACTTGGAAAACCATAAAATTGATTTACGTGTTTTTTTTATTTTAAAATTTCGTGCATTTAACTTTTTTTTAATTAAAAAAAAGTAAATTACAAATTTTGAAACCCTATAAACGAAAATAGAAGTTTTTATAAATTACAGGGATGAAAATCGTAATTTACTCTTTAAAGAATATAGACAATTAATTTTAAAAATTCCATAATTTATTTACTGAAAAATATTTGTAGACTAATTAGTCCTAAATGTGAAAATACAACAGATTTCGTTTTTAGTAAATAGTTGAATTAATTGTTGCAATGATTTAATTTTGTGGACCCAACCTCGATCTTTTTTTGGGGCAAACCGACTCGCCGGAGGGTTAAACATGCCTTCACTTGATGCCGTCGGTGACCCTTTTTTATGGATGCGGTAACGTTCGGCATCATCGTCGGGATAATAATCCTCTTCTTTATCATTGTTTGCTTCATTACAATCGAAGGCACCTGCAAACGTCGCCCTTCTTGAAACCCCCCCCCCCCCCTGCCCACTGCACTTCTAAGTTGGAAAACCCCCCAAAAAAACCCGAACAAATCCTTCCCACAATTCAATCCAACGCGCCGAGATGATGGTGATTCATCATTGTAAAAAGCAGATCTATAGTTTACTGCTAATCTTGGTTTTGACGGTTGGATTTAATTTTGAAGCGAGTTTCGGGCACCAGTGTCAACACTCTAGTGCGCCGGCGGTTCATGAATCTCATGTTCATCATCACAACTGTGATCACTCGCATGGCCATCACCATCACCATCATGATCATGATTTGGGGATGAAAAAGCTGCCGGAAGAACTGGCGGAAGAGGAGGATCTTAGGTTGGAATATGTGTCCCACCACGATCATGACCATGATCATTATCATGGCGGTGGCTCAGAGCTAACCAGCGTTGGTAATGTTACTTTGATTTTTATGACGTTTGATAATCTTGTTTGTTTGTTTGTCTATGCGCCCCTTTATTCAATCACATTTTTGAAAAAAATTGAAGGTTAATGATACGTGTTGGCATTGTCTGGTAAACTCTCATGATATTAGGTCATTTTATAGTACCCTTATTCAAGAATCAACATTTTGTTTCATTTTCTATATTTCTCACATTGGAGCTTTGGCATTCAAACTCTCAGGATTATTAGAGAGTGTAGTTCCTTGTTTATAGGTGGCTGGTTCGAGTCTCTGAACTGGGTATTTAAATCCTGGCTGTTATCTTACGGGCCCATGGGATTAGTCGAGCCTCGTGCTTGGACGCCACAGTTAAAAAAAAAGACTTAAGGGTCACATAGTTGTGATCCATAAACTTTGTATGTATCATTACACACTATATGGTGGCCTTATTAAGAACCGGTAATTGGAAATAAAAGAAGCTTGGTTCTTTATATTATGTAACAGAATGAGTATGTGGTTAGGTCTGTCCAAAGGTAGTAAGTGGAGAGAAGAGTAGTTCTTTGTTGTTCTAGGAGCAAAGATTAGTCATAATTGCCAATTGTGTTCCACTACGGCCTTGGAAACTGGAATGCAACTTGAATAAGTTAAACTAGTTTTTTCAGTTCTTTAAGTTGTGAATGTATGGTTTTTTGATGGTGATATGTTGAGCCTGTTGAGTAGGTAGTTGATATGTATTAGCACTTCCAAGTAACTTGTATGCTTGCACTTGGTAGGTCTTTGGATTCATGCAATGGGATGCTCATTGTTGGTGAGCTTGGCTTCTCTAGTTTGTCTGATTCTACTGCCATTGATATTCTGTGAGTTGCTTAACCACAAGGATTTTTTCCCTATTGCCTGTAATTTGGATTTGTTATTAAATTAAACATACCCCAACTTCTGTAAATTCTCACAGTTCAAGGAAAACCATCAAAGGCACTTGTTGATGCGCTGGCTGTATTTGGGGTTAGATTCTTCCTCTTGCTCATACTCATGTAAATTATGTACTAGGGCATCTTTGTAACGCACTTCAAAATCTGCTCTATTTTATTAGAACTATTGTTGCTTTAATTGTAATCCTCCAACTTCAGCTAGTGTAACCATCTATTAGTTTTCGAGCTTTTGAAGTCAAACAACTTGTTCTACTGTTAAAATTAGTTTTGGATGTTAAAGTCTTGTTAGTTTTATTTGTTTTGTGTTTTAATAATAATATCTTTTGTCCTTGATGACTTCTTGTGACAATTTCAGTTGAGGGGAAAAGTTACATTCTTGTGTTTTATTGTGGAAATATCATATTTTTGTTAGCAAAATCATTGCATATGTATAAGTAATGTTGTCTGATTCTTGTAATGTGGAATAAGGTGCACCAAAGCAGTTGTATTGCTTCATGGTTATTTCTATATCTAGCACTCCACCCTCTTGCTAGCTCAAGTTTCTCAACTATGTTTATCATACCTATGCTAGTGTTCCAGTTGCTAAAACTGTACAGGTCTACATCCATTTGGCATTTGTAGGCAGGAGCTATGCTTGGAGATGCTTTTCTTCATCAATTGCCACATGCCTTTGGTATGATAAAACATGAATTCAAGTTTAGTAATGGAATCATGGTTACACCTTATCTCAAAGTTTTATGCATTCCTCTGCAAGAACCATGCTTGATTAACATACATGTTGTATTAAATATTGAATGCATTTATCAGGTGGCGGACATTCTCATTCACATGATAACCATGTGGATGATGTTCATCAGCACATTGCTTCTGGACATGATCATTCCCACTCTCATTCCCATTCTATTGAAGATCTTTCAGTTGGATTATCCATTTTGTGTAAGTAATGATATATTTGGAAGACCTGTTTACTCGATTTTTCATGCTAGCTTTCTGATCATTATCGTTGTCATATCTTGGAATGGACCTAGGTACAGTCATACCATTACTGCTGCCCCCTATGGATTTGATTAATTAATGATCTCTGTTCTTTTTCACTGCAGTTGGAATTGTTGTTTTTCTCTTTGTGGAAAAGGTTGTGAGGTATGTTGAAGATATGTCAGGAGGAGTTAATTCTTGGGGTCATGGTCATCATCACCACCACAAGAGTGAATCATTGAAGGATAGCAAAGGTGATGATGACAACAGTGAGGAAGATGGAAGCACATCCGAAACTTCTGAAAAAATAGCAGAGATAGCATCTGGTGAATCTCTAAAATCAGAAAAACAAAGTGAATCTTCTCATCTCCGCAAGGTATAACTGAATTCTGCATCATATCTTAAGTAGTTGATGGTTTCCTGGTGAGAAATATACTACTCATAATGTGTTATTATCTCATTATCTAGATGAACATATATACTCCACAAAGCATTCAAATGTGAAGACTTAAAGGTAAAAGCACATTCAAATCAGTAAAATTAGAGTCATCTTATGTCTAACACCTCTTCAAGGTGGGGCGTATATAATGAACATGCCCAACTTCTGACGCTTTGGAGCAGTTCATTTCTCCAACAAAAGGTGCTATCTGCGTGGCCGGTATCTGAATGACTTGTAACCTGAGTCTCAATTATCAGGATAAAGACCACTTCGTAGAGCACCTTTGAGTTACTTTTAGTGTTGCTAAGACAAATCCCTAGTGTATCAAGTTTAGGTGGGGGATTCGAGGATTAGAGCCAACACTCCTTTGCCCCCTTGTGTTGGACGGTTGTCCACTAGTGTGGTTGACCGAACTTTAGCCCGCTTGTCGTGATGCCATGATGCCTAATCAAGGAAGTGCACGTCTAGTTTCCCAGAATTGACAACCCAACAATTTGTATGGACACAGTAAAGCAATACCGAACTAAGTATAAACTAAAACAAGGTAGATGCCCAACAAAGTAACCAAAACAAGCTAATGAATCATCAAATCACATAAGAAGTTGAGGAACGGGTTTACCGTGCGAAGTAGATGATTTTTTGACCTGTTTCCCTTTGGGTGTTGTTCAACTCCTTGCAAAAGTATTACATTGTTGAGAAAGCAATGGAGGATTTTGGGTTTTGTGGGTTTATTTAGGGATTTGGGTCAAAGTGTAGGAGGGGAGAGAGGAGGAAGAAGATGAAGGAAATAGACAAAGAAAATGGAAGGCGGATGAAGCAAAAATGGAGAGACAAAGAAGGTTCTTTAGGAGAAGTTGAGTTTTGAAGATTTTGGGTTAGACACTGAGAAAGAGCAGTTATACATAATACCCAATAATAACAACATTCATACATTCAAAATCAACCGGAGGTACAACCCTTTTTATAGCATTATACATCATAAATTAGAAGTTTAACATGAAGATGAACAAAACATTCATGAAATATCAAAGTATTACAAGTAAACAAAAAGCGCGAGGAGAATATGTACTCTTAATGGCAACCAAAGATTGATCTTCAATGAACTTTAATATTCCAATATCAACTTCTTACAAAGGTACTCTTAGGGGGAAGAAATCAGTTGAGCGAGGGAGAGAAAACCCACTACTTTCTAGAATTAAAATTTTCTACCAGTCTCTTATAAAATCAGGCAAAAGTCATCCAAGCCATATTTTCAACAAATTAAAAGAATAGAAGTAAAATGAACAAAAACTTATATGCAAATTGCTGACTTTAATACTAAAATGCATGCAAATTCACAACTTAACAATATATTTACCGCTAAAAACTGGAAATGGGCTATACAACTTTAAAGAAAAGGAGTTACTTCTACTTAAGGGCTGTTTGAATTTTTTTTATCTATTAAGCTCTGAATCTATTAAGTTGCCTATAAGTATTAACCTGCCTAGATGAATTAAGATAAATTTGTGTTTGATTTTTGTCCTGAACAAAAAGGTACCATTTAACTTTCTGTCTACGTAAGTATCGAATGAAAATAAACTGTGATAAATATTTTTATCTTCGCTGTCATAAATTAGGTGTTTGCCAAAAAAGTTATATTCCTAGATCAGTTTTATTTTCAAGGGTTAGTACAAAACAATGTGTAGGCGATCTAAACACATTAAAAATATTATATGCTTGTTAAGTCATGTTCCATGAACATCACCTTATCCATTTTGGTGGTATTAATCGACATTATTTGATAGACACTTAAATTTTGTCCCCGTCTGTTTCTTGATATCTTTTTGTTGGTCAAGTCAATTTTATTACTTATTACCGACATTTACTTTGCAGAGAAACACTAGTACTAATGTGGTTGCAGACAAGATTGATTCAGGTGCTGAAAATGGACCCAAAAGTAATATAAAGTCCTCGATTGAGAAGGAACCTGCACAGTCATCGACTCTCGTGTTTGGTTATCTGAATCTGTTCTCAGATGGTGTTGTATGTGCTTCTTTAACCTCTTATCTATTCCCCTTCAGTGGACATGTTTGCTGCATAGACAAGCTATTTTACATGTTATCTTGTATTATTTTGGTTAATGGTTTCAGTACCATATGTTTAAATTTTCGCATAAACAAAAAAAATTGTTGCTAATGCATAATAACAAATATGGACCAATTCAAAATTGTGACCCGGTGTTCTTTTTAAATTTAAACATATTTTATCATAGCACATAATCAAATATCATTGTAATATCCAAAATGCTCAAGTGTCGCAATGGGTGTTCTTTTCAAAACTGGCTACAATGATCTAGAACCTCCAAAAATCCTAAATAAACAAAATGGGTCTTAAATATAGAAACATAGATCACACATCGATGATTTATTGCTAGAAAGAAACTTAGATCACACATCTATCATCAGAAATGCATTCCCATCTTCAATTTGTGTGATCGTTTTTACTTGAGTTTAATCATTCTAGATCACACCTTCACCATTGTTCTTGCTCTCTCGATAACCATGACATCCAAATAGCTGTTTCAATTGCATGGTGACATCCTAACAGTCTTCACCATTGTTATTATGCATTAACAGATGCAATTGGCATGTAAATGAAGAGTTTTGTTAATATTTACAAATAAATTGTTCCTGTAGTGAATTTCTGTCGCTTTTCTTGTTTAAATACACAACTTAACCAAAATTTAATGAATCTGTGATGAACTGCAGCATAATTTCACTGATGGCATGGCTTTAGGAAGTGCTTTCCTCCTATACGGGTCTGTTGGTGGGTGGTCAAGAACACTTTTTCTACTTGCACATGAGCTTCCTCAAGAGGTATGTTTCCCTCTTTAGATCCTTAAAACCGTATTCTTGAGACTTCAAGAACTTAAATCCATCTAACGAATTCTATTGATTTTTGTTGTAGTAAATAGATACATCATTGTCTTGTGTATATGTTACGTATAAATATGCACTAGTTACCACTGATTGTTGTTTTACCTTTTTTTGGTATTTGTGCATCACTGTGGTTCTCTGTTTTAGGAGGATACTTGCAATCTCATCAACTCTGATGTGTTCTGCAACGATTGCAACAAGTTTCTTTTTTTGGGGGGAAGGGGTGTTTATATTCATTGCTTTATCCCTCTTTTTGCAAATTTCTGAGCTAAAGTTACGACTTTTGAGTTTGCCTACTGACTACTGTCATAGTTACAAGTTATTGGTGGCTTTGATCTTACTGCAAAAGATTTCGGTATGCGTGACCAACAATTTAGCATTTCTATTAAAGCTACTTCTAGACTTTAATATTGCAATTTTTTTGGGGAAAGATGTATACATATAAATAGGGTCAGGTTCATGGGAAAACCACAAAAAATGAAAAACTGAGGAAAACCCTAGTAACCATTTTCATCTGTATAGTATCCACGTGTGCAGTGGCGGACCCAAGATTTTTGTTCAGTGGGGTCACCTTTAAGGTAGACTAAAGACTCGCAAAATCGCCCCTAATTACAATGTTTCAAGGGATTTTTAAAATTTTTTGGTTGATTTCAAGGGATTTTTTAGTGTTTTTGTCGATTTCGAATAACTTTTTTGGTTTTTTTGATTGATTTCAATAGATTTTTTTGGTTAGAGTAACGGTTTTGATTGGGGTTGGGGGCTCGTGGAAAAATGTAACGTGGGAAGTGAAAGGTAAATCATGTAAAACCTAAGTTTTAACCTATAATTTTTTTTTTAGTTTTTGACTGGGGTCCCTCCGCACCCCGCCTTTTGCTATTGCATCCGCCCCTGCACGTGTGCATACAAGTAATTTGTTAATAACTTTTATGGTTTGCACATGTGCATAACATGCACACGTCCATAGAAACCAGGAAATCTCTTCAATCACTTGTATGCACATGTGATATCGTACAGATGAACGGTTACTAAGGTGTTCTTCAGTTTTTCATATTTTTGGATATATATAGGGGTCAAATCAAATAAGAACCACAAAAAGATAGTGTTTCACGTATTTTTGTTTCATAATGTGATAGTTTCACATGTATTTGTTTCCACCATGTGAAACTTTTCTATGTGATTTTTTCATTTCACGATGTGAACAAAAAAAGTTTTCGCATGAAATATTTTCACAAGGTGAACACAAACATATGTGAAACGATACCTTAAATCATAGCTTTTGATGGAAAAAATCATGTAGAAAATATTTTTACATGGCGACCTCACGGGTTTGAAACCTTTTCGTGGTTCTCATTTGATTATCGCCCTATATATAATTATATATATAAACAGATTGATGATGTTAACTATTGCAGATAGGTGATTTTGGAATCTTGGTGAGATCTGGTTTCAGTGTATTCAAAGCTCTCTTCTTCAACTTCCTCTCCGCATTGGTGGCACTAGCAGGAACTGCATTGGTTAGTTACTATTTCCCATGTATGAATTATAAATCTTTTAGCGGAACCATGAAAAATAACAACATTCTGACCATGAATCCGTCTATTAGGCGTTGTTGTGGGGTCAAGATCCAGGGCAATCATCTTTAATTGAGGTACGACTTTTTTTACATATTTCCATCACTACAATTTGTAACAGTGGCAAGCGATAACTTGGTATCTTTCAAAAATATTTCATTTTTAATGGGATCAAAGAACATGGGTAAATGGGTGAAATTTTATGAAAGAGAAAGTAAGTGGCACCATTTTTTATTGTGAATTGTACAGGGATTTACAGCAGGTGGGTTTATATACATAGCAGTGGGGGTGATGGCGGAAATGAACAATGGCAGCAGTTCATTGAAAAATACTGCAATACAATTAAGCTGTTTGGTACTGGGTATGTCTGTTGCTCTCTTTATATCGCTTGTCGAGTGAACCATTTTTCGTTCAGTTTTGATGTAAGCTAGAGAGGATTAGGAGGTAAGTGTACAACTTCGTTTTCAAACTTGGTCAAAAATATATCCCATAGTTGTCGATTCTTGATCCAACAATTGGTCTTTTTGACAATGTAGTTCTCAATGTTCTATTTATAGCATTTATAGGAAATCTGGATATTATTTTCTGTACTATGGAGTCCAAATTCGAATGAGTATATATATCGGGTTCCTGTGGGACCACTCTGTTTTCATGAGACCAGCTGTGAAGTCGCAAAAACACGATGAACTTTCGCAGCAAAAACATTGCAAGGGTGTTCACCTTTTTTTTGTACCTTCCCAGTGTTTTGCTGTGAAGGTTAGTGTTTTTTTTGTGATATCATGAGTCACACGAAGATAGACTGGTTTCATAGTCTCTCTATAACAAAAATAACCGTTTCAGCCGGTGGAATCTACCTCTTAGTCTTTTCTCTCCCCGTTTTCCAAAAAATCACTACTTCTGCAAGTAACAACTTCTCAACTCGGGGAATAATTAATTTTAATAAAAATTTGATTTCTGGAACATGTCTGCAAGTGCAGAAGAACCACTTGTCCTTCATTTCTTGAATTTGAATGAGAGGCTTTAATTTGTCTCCTTGTCGAACTCAATCACCCATGGGGATGCATGTTTAACTTGCGAAGGTGCTTGGTTACAAGGAGATGCATGTTTAACTTGCGAAGGTGCTTGGTTACAAGGGACGTGGCACCCTTGCAAATTCGTAAATTGAGGAGTTGTTACTTGCCAAGGTGGCAGTATTTTAGAAAACTTGGGACAAAAATGGTTAAGAGGTAAACTAGAAATATTGTGATATGCGACAACGATATTAATGGTTCTGTGTTTACCCCAACCATGGATGGTAACGCCTTGAGGATGTTGACATTATCTGACATAAATAATTCATAAAATCTTTTGGTGAAAATATTTTATTGTCCTTTTACACAACTATTATGGATGTTTTTAATTTGTATAATTTTATTTATTGAGCATCCATAAATTCTTTTATTTAAATATGTAATTTCAAATAAATAAATGCTACTCCACGGTTATTATTCAAGGGAAAAGTACAATAAAAACCAATGAACTTTCTTGTTTGGAATGATTAAGTCCTTGAACTTTTTTTTGGAACAAATAAGTCCTTGAACTTTCTAAAACATGTTAAATAAGTCATTAGACAATTTTTTGGCACAAATAAGTCCTTGGACATTCTAAAATATGTTAAATAAGTCCTTAAACATTCCAAAAAATGTTAAATAAGTTCTTGGACAATTTTTGGAACAAATAAGTCCTTGAACAATCCAAAACATGTTAAATAACTTCTTGAACTTTTATAAAACATGTTGAATACATTCTAATGACTTGTACAACTAGTTAAAATGGTAATTATTTTTTTGTAAATGTAAGTACTTTTTTGTTATAT